ATATATATGTATATGTATATATGACTCCAGTTTCTACCCATCATTCTCATTATACTAAAACTCCTGAAAAGACATCTTCACTCACTGCCTCCAGTCCCTGTCTCCTAATCCCCTAGTTACTTCAAACAGTCTTTCAGCATCCTCATCACTTTCTGAGTTCTTTCCTCAGAGTCATCAAGGGCCTCCCTACTGCTCAACCAATAATCATTTCTCTGAACCCACCTCCCCCTGCACTTGTTCTATCGGCTGCATTTGAGACAGCTGGTCACTCCCTCCTCTTTAAAGCATATTCTTCTCCTGGTTTCCAGGATACAACCACATCTTGATTTTCACCTCATCTCCTGGCCACTCCTCAGCATCTTTTGCTTATTTCCCCTCATATCCCTGACTCCTTAATGCTGGAGTAGCCCAGATCCAGCTCTCAGTTTTCTCTTCTTTATCTACACTCACTCCCTTGGTAATCTCATCCAGCCTTATGGCTTTAAACACCACCAAACGCTCACAGCTCACTCATGTTCATCTTCAGCCAAATAGCTCCCCAATCACCTATCTCATCTATCCAAATACCTTCTCAAAATGCCTATTTGGATGTCTAATGTGTCAAACTTAACACAGCCAAACAGAACTCCTGATCACATCCCCACCTCCCAAACCTACTCCTGATGTTTTCTTACCACCAGAAACGGCATCATTCTTTCACTGCTCAGGCCCAAACCCTTGGAATCCATCCTTGATTCTTCTCTCTCACACCCTACACCGATGTATCAGTCAATTTTGCCCCAAATCAGACCACATGGAACACCAGTGCTAGCCTGGTCTAAGAACCATGACCTCTTCCTGGGCCAATGCAATAAGCCTCTTAATTGGTTTCCCTGCTTCCATGCTTGCTCCTCCAGGCTGCAAGAAGAGTACATAGTAGGTACTCAAAAAAAAAAGTATAAATGAATGAATCAATCAATGCACGTTTGTAGTGTGTGTACTTAATTGCAATATTAGATATATTTATGTGGATTAGAAAAGATTTTTAAAAACAATGACCAACATTAGAGGTTATAGATAAGAAGATGGAGTTGCCTGACTGCAGTCAAGAGCACAAATCAGGGGGGGTGGACAGAGATGCCCCACCCAGAACCACTTCAAGGGAGGACCTGCCACCCAGCTGCAAGGAATGTGGGTAGCAGACAGCTCCACCTACAGCTGTCTGCCAAAGCTAGAGAAAGATACATAGCCAGGGGTAGGTCACCCAGGAGTAACCTAGGCCATGGCTGACAAAGCAGGGGCACAAACACACAGCCCTCTCGGCCTGGCACAGGTGCCCTAACAGGCCATACACACTCCAGAGCTCACTTATCAGGCTGGCTGGTGCTTTCTTCAGCCTACACCACCATTCAACGTCTTCCTCTGCCCAATCCTGGTCCCTGCCCCTTCCTTTCACAAGTATTGCTCTTTAATGAGTATTTTACACCTCAAAATCTAGCTCAATGTCTAGTCTGGAAAAAACAACCTACAACCCCAAGTTTAGTTCTTGCTCAACTGGGCAGGTCCCTAACAAACCCTTCATTCTCCCATCTCCAAGGTTTACTCAGTCTATCCCTAGCTGAACTGCCTTTTGAACTGTTAATGGTCCCCACTCATTCTTCAAATCTAGCTTAATTGCTACCTATTCTTCTGAAAATCTTCCCCAGGCTCCCTCACCCATAAAACATTGTCCTCTCTTACTACATCTATGACATTCTACCTTGTATTATAGTCGAGAACTTCTACAATTTATCATATGCTGAAATTCTACACTATACTGAATTAAAGACCAGAAATATCCTCCCTAACTGGCCCCTCCTCATATATTGTTGTTGTTATGTGCCATCGAGTCATCTCCGACTCACAGCGACCCCTCCTTGGGTTTCCGAGGCAGTATCACTACAGAAGTAGATTGCCCAATCTTCCTTCCGAGGAGTGGCTGGTGGGTTTGAACCATCAACCTTTGAGTTAGCAGTCAAGTGCCTTATGCACTATGCCACCAGAGCTCCCACTCCTCATATATACTCCTCATATACTGCATCCATATTAAAATAAACACCCAGATCCACTCCACTCATGGAGACCCCCTGTGTGTGAGAGCAGAACTGTGCCCCATGAGGTTTTCAACAGCTGATTTTTTGAAACTACACTGCCAGTCCTTTGTTTCAAGGTGCCTCTAGGTAGACCTGAACCTCCACCTTTTCAGTTAGCACCTGACACTTAATCATTTGCATGACTCAGGGACTCCCACTACACAACCCAAAAAACAAACCTGTTGCCATTAAGCCGATTCTGAGTTATAGTGGCAGAGTAGAATTGCCCCATAGGGTTTCCAAGGCTGCTATCTTTGCAGGAATCTGCCACATCCTTATCTCATGGAGCAGCTGGTGGGTAGTGCTAATTTTTCAGTTCACAGTGGAGTGCTTTAACCACTGTGCAACCAGGGGGCTTCTTCTTTGTAATACAGAAACAAAAACCAAACTCACTTCCATCGAGTCAATTCAACTCATAGCAACCCCTCCTTGGGTTTCTGAGGTGGTATCTCTACGGAAGTAAATTGCCCACTCTTCCTTCTGAGGAGTGGCTGGTGGGTTTGAACTGCCAGTCTTCTGGTTAGCAGTCAAATGCCTTAGGCACTACAGAGACCCTCCTTAGGTTTCCGAGGCGGTGGTATCATTACGGCAGTAGATTGCCCAACCTTCCTTCCAAGGAGTGGCTGGTGGGTTTGAACCATCAACCTTCTGGTTAGCAGTCAAGTGCCTTAGGTGCTATGCCACCAGAGCTCCCTCCTAATACACAGTAGGTGTTTAATAAAACTTTACTGGCTGAAACTTAAATAAAGTGAATGATAGTAAACAAACTAAGCTCTATACTTAGTCTTTTTTTTTTCTTTTTCTTAATTTAAGATGAAGAAATAAAACTAAAAGAGTTCTGATATCTATCTTAATCCCTAAAATAATTCATTTTCTCCATATGAAACTTGGACCTCGAATTATGCATATTTGAAACAAAAATATTCAGCTACCTAAATACCACTACTTGAGTCTTTCATAAATAGTTCACTTCTCTGAAACGTAACAATTTTTAGCATCAGTTATAGAAGTGATTAAAAAAAAATTGAAAAATCTAAAGCAATCCCCAAAAAGTTAGAAAATGAATCTCTTTTATAAAATGGCTTTTCTCACCATGGTCTGGTAACATCTACAAAATGACTGGGTGTGGCTATGCAAATAGGGTGTTTGTGGCCTGCCAAGGGAATTGAACAGAATTGCTAATAATACAAATAAGGTGGAGGTGGGACCATGCAAATAAAGGGTGTGGAACCCTAACAAGGTGATTGGTCAGTCTTCCCACTCCACTAGGCTTAAAATGAGCCATCCCATCTTAAAAGGTTGCAAGCAGCCATCTAGATACAACGATGGGTTTCTCCTCGTCCAAAGCAAAGAAGGATGAAGAAAACCAAAGATGCATGGAAACAATCAGTCCAACTGACTGGTACACCATGCGATCCTCAACCTATATGACTACAAGACCAGAAGAATTAGAGGGTACCTGGCTACCACTGCCGACCACTCAGAAGGGGATCCTAGTGGAACCCATGAGACTATAGCCCCTACCTGCCCTTCAGATCTGGAATTGAACCCACTCCTGTGGCTTCCAGCCAAACAAAAGACAGGTATATGAGCTGAACATTTACGTTAGATAGATACACTCCTTGGAGAGATCAACCATGGGACAACAGAAGGGCTATGTGCGCCCAGGGAGACAGCTTGGGGGGCAAGAATGCATGGGAGGGAAGGACACAGAGAAGAGCTAACTAAGGGAAGTGGGAAGACAACTGTTGCACTGTGGGAAACTGCAATCAATGCCATGAGACAAAATTTATGTGAGCTGCTGTATGGAAAGTGAATTTGGTCTGTAAACTTTCACCCAAATTACAATAATAATAATAATAATAAAGCCATCCCAGAGACAGGAAGGAGGGACCTCACACCACCAAGAAAGAAGAGCCAGGTGTGGAATGGAGCACATCCTTTGGATCCCAGTCCCTGCACTGAGAACCTCCTAGACACAAGAGGTAAAGAGAGAGAGAGAGAGAGCTGTAACACTGGAGATGGCATAGGACAGCCAGAAGCAGTGACAGAGAAACAGCTGCAGCAGAATCAGCAGACCAGCATTAAGATGGCACAGTAGGCTTCCCAGCCCATGGAGCAAGGCAGTTACAGTGGGCATGCTGACCTACAGAACAAGAGAGCTGAGGCCTTTGGGTCAAGGCTTACTGGCAGAGTGGAGTTCCTCAGGGTACTTACTGGCAGAGCTAAATAGCTACTTTGTGATACCTGCCCAAGCAAGGAAGAGGCCGGGCCAAGGGGCCAAGAGAGGCCTGCCTGTAGACAGCTGAGAAGCTGTCTTGACCAAAGAACTGCACCCTGAGTCATTCTTGATCTTGAGTACTTCCCTAATAAACCTTACAATTTTGAGTATGGTCTGTGAGTTCTGTGTGGCCATTGCAATGAATTATCAAGCGCAGTAGAGAAGTACAGACTGCCATGGGAGGGATAGCTGATATCAAAACTGGTAAAGTTTGGAGGGTGGAGGTATGTTTGAACTCCACCTCACAGCAATCAACCTTGGGCTGATGGTAATTATGGTGATTAACCTCACCCCTCATGAAGTTAGAGGGCCTCTGATGCTACCGTGCCATTTTTATAGCAACTCAAAGTTTGAATTCATGGCCATCGGAGTAAAATTTTAAAATGAAAATAAAAACATTGTTTCTCAAAGACATTATCTACTTAAGTAAAATAGCCAAGGCTAGAAAAAAAAGAGACCCCGGGTCTTCTGTCTATGGATTACCTGTTCCACAGAAGGACAAGCTATGATCTGGTTATCTTCAGGGCTGAACTCTTCCTTTAACAAAGCATAGATCTTCTGAAAGACTTGCTGAATATTATTCTTAGGAAGAATAACAAGAAATCATAGTAAATGAGTAGCTGAAAACATAAACAGTTGTCTAAACAAGAAGCACTAAGAATGTTAAATTGTAATGAAATTTGCCAAAACAACTGGAGAAAATGTATCTTTCATGGGATTACTAAAGACACATAATCTGCCTTAATATTTCAGATCCTAGCACAATCTGACTGTGATGTGTCAGATAGTATTTCCTGGAAAAACTAAACTCTAGCAAGTCCTATCTCTCCAGAGAATAATAAAAGTCTTTAGCAGCAATTTTTTTACACAAAAGACAGTAAAGTTCCCAGACATATAAAATGTAGTTTAAAAATCAACCAAAGTCTTGGCTAAAAATATGAGCTCAACACAGAACTGGAAGTTATGAGTCTTAAATTTGCTCTGACATTTAATCCCTTGGCAGCTGCTGCATGCCATTTATTTCTCCTCCTCACCGGTAAAATAGGACAGAACTTCTGAAATGTTACTCTCTCAAGTGTTGGGCCAAATCCAACTGGAGGGTCAAACTTTTTATTTCTTTGCTAGTTTCTGCTTTGAAAGGCAACATATTAAAAACTAAGATGATAGGAATATGGCAAAAAAATAGGGAGCCCCTTTTGCGTAGTGATTAAAAGCTCAGATGCTAACTAAAAGGTTGATGGTTCAAACCCACCAGCCGCTCCACAAGAGAAAGATGGGGCAATCTGCTTCTGTAAAGATTATTGCCTTGGCAATCCTACAGGGCAGTTCTACTGTGTCCTACAGGGTTGCTAATGAGTTGGAATCGACTCAACAGCAGTAGGTTTGATTTTTGGTATGTATATATATAGATACGTGCATATGTGTGTGTATGTGTGTGTGTGTGTATATATATATGTACATATATATATATAAACTACAAAAGCTGGAACTTGTGTAACATGGAAACCTGTCAGAGAAGAAAAACGCAAATATTTTCCACTAAAACAAACAAAAGTGGAAAGACCACACCCTGTCAAAGGTAGAAAATTTGCGAGACCCAGAAAAACAAGGCAGTCCCATCAAATTCCGGCTCTCGCAGGCTTCTCTATCATTTCCTCTGATTTTACATATATTTATGATGGAATTTTATATATATATATAAAATCAGACTGATGCAGGCCCTGTGACCTTTTAAGAACCACAGTGATTAGTAATCGACTTCACCAGAAAAGCATACAAAAATTTACAATGTCTACAGGAAGAGTAAAATGCTATGTGCATATGTGGCAAGAACATCTGAAGAGACTGGTCAACATTCAAATCAAGTATCATGATACTCACCCTAACAGGCTTAAACAGGATGAATTCAGTATCTTTATTGGATAGGTACAATGACATACTTCTCAATGTCAAAGGCAGCTTTTCTTTTATTGTCTTGTAGGCACTTGATACAAGGTCACTGACCTTTGCTGGAAAGAAATTAACCTTGTCAGTGTCACAAAGAAAAAGAGGAGAAACATTTCCATTTTAATTCAGAGGGGAGAGAAACACAGCAAAAGGAGGACTCTTTATTTCCCCAAAGAATTTCTTTCATTTTTCTTGTTAATGTATCAAGTTTAATCATAAGCCTTATGAACATTCATTAGTATCTACTATACATAAAAATCCCAAGGGCTAAGGCTGTTTCAGGACATTCATAGGGGCTGTTATATGGGGCTTTTGAAGATAACAGAGAAGGTTTTCTGCTTTTGTTTTTCAAGTGATTTTCAGAGATACCAGTAAGAGTAACTTCACAATGAATGAGTTTTTTCGTTTGCAGAACTGACCTCACACACTAGCTCCCCCAGGTACTTGCTGAGATCATTCAGAAAACACTCTCATAGCTAAGAGGAATCTACATATCTGTCTTTACTGTCTTAGCAGAAAGAGAACAGAAATTTCTAACAAATAACTGCATAACCCAGGTGCAACGTCTGAAGTAGCTACATAGAAGAGTAATCAGTAGGAAGCATTTAAAAGGAAAGGCTGATTGATAAATTCAAAGTTGTAATTAAAGAAATGCAAATTAAACAATGAGACACTGTGAGACTGACAAAAATTATTAGGATTGAAGACATCCATGCTTAGCAAGAGTGTGGGGAAACAGGCACCTTCACCCATGGCTGATAGGAGTGTAACTGGCAAATCCTCTTGGGAAGAATATTAGACAATGTCTAGCAGTATTTTAAATATACATATTCTTTCACACTTAACATTTCCACTGCTAGAAATTTACCTTATGGATATACTCACAAAATACCAAGATATGGGTGTACAATGTATAGAAAAACAAAAAGGGAAAATAATTTAAGTATCTACTAATAGGAGACTTATTAAAGAAATCATGATATAGTGATGTCATTCTATGTCTCTGGTATATACAATATGTAGATATGTGAACATGGAAAGCACTCTACAATACATAAATAAAAAAGCAAGGTATGTAGTACAGTATCTTTGGTCTAACATTATTTTTAAGCCCATACTATGCTAGTAGATGCATAAAAAATTTGGGGAAAGAAACTGTTATTAGTAGTTGCCACTGATAAAAGGACCAATATGAAGGTGGACAGCATAATTTATTCATTTTACATCTTTCTGCAGTTGCAATTTTAAACCAAATGGTTTGTTGTCTTGAATGAGGAAGGCTGGTGTACAACAAACAGGGTAAGAAAGTGCCCATGCGCTCAAGAAAAGAGAACAACCTGGGAACTGCTTGTGGAATGACCTAGGAATTGCTTATCTTCCATAAAATAGATGAAAGCTCCTCCAAGACACTTCCAATTCCATGGGGTCTAGTGATATCATCACTAAGTACACTTCTGAGATTTCTAAATTAGTTTTTAGATCCCTTGAAAACCATTAAGTGAGTGTGCAGGCTACTGAACAAGTCCTGGGATTCCTATAAACGTAGCTTCCCCAAAGTTAAGAAATTGGCATTCTAATGTGTGACTCTGCTCCTCTGAGTTTATCATGAAATGATCCCTTTGAAATTATCAAGTCTGCATGCACCAAGAGCACTGGGTTTCCAAACAGAGACACCAAAGACAGTCCTGAGACTGTCCTTGATGCTGCCAAAAGGCCAATAAATCTCTCTCTGACACGTAAGTATGGGCTTCATGTATTACAGGTTAAGAAAAAACAATTTCACCTCCACTGTAGCTAAATGGGCCAGAAGACACAACAGGGTAAAACTGAACTGTCTTTGCTATATCCACCAACATCTCTTAGAAAGAAACGAAAACGGTTCAGTGACAAAACACACAGGCTTATTTCAATTTGCATCTCAAGGCTTTTGTCGAGGCTTTCTCTCTCTCCTCCTGCTTTCTTAATGACAATCTTCATAATGCTTAAGAACACAATGCATCTAGGAGATCCTGAATAGAGTGGGAGAACAATGTGGAACAAAACTCAAAATCATAAAAAAGACCAGGCTTACTGGGTCTGAGAGAGACAGGCAAAACCCCTGAGACTATGGCCCCTAGTTACCTTTCAGGCTTGGAACTGAACTCACTCCTATGGCTTCCAGCCAAACAACAGACAGGCATATGGGGTAGATATTTACATCAGGTAGATATACTCCTAAGAAGGATCAATCATGGGAGAACAGAAGGGCAGTATTTGCACAGGGAGACAGCTCAGGGGGCAAGAATGCCCAGGAAAGGACACAGGGAAGAGGTAACTACAGGGAGGAAGTAGAAAGAAAGCTGTTACATTGTGGGGATTGCAATCAATGTCATGAAACAAAATGTGTATGAACTGCTGTATGGAAAATCAATTTGTTCTATAAACTCTAATCCAAATCACAATAAAAAATTTTAAAAAATAAAAAGGAAAAAGAACTCAATGCATCTAATATTGAGAATTCTATTAGGATTCCACTTGAGAAAAGAATAGCCCTTATTTTGAAGGAAAGAATACTACATTAATTCTGCATCGAGCCCCTGGGTTTGGCTATGTTAAATATACCTCTGCCTATTTGCTATTGTTGCTGTTGTTGTTATGTGCCGTCATGTCAGACCCAATTCATAGCGACCCCTCCCTGGGTTTCCAAGGGAATATCACTACAGAAGTAGATTGCCCAGCCTTCCTTCAAGTGGCTGGTAGGTTTGAAAGCATTCGTTTCATTTACATAGATGTACAAAATAAAAAAAAAAAAATTCCAATTTCTAAATAAGCCTTTGCAAGTGACTGAAACTTTGTGCCAAAGGCTCATATTAATCCAAATATCATCATCCTTCAAGAACCATGCTGAGTTATACCCGAAAAGTCTGCCCTTTGACTGGCAGAAGAATAGTCCAACAGGTAGATAGCACTACAGCAGAAAATGACTAGACTCTCCAGTATGCTTGGTAAAAGAATCTGGTTTTCTGTTTTCTGACAGAATAAGCTACATCAACTGCATGCACTGTCTTTCTGGAAGATATGGTCAAATTTCAATCTCATCAAAAACCCAAATCCATTACCATCGAGTTAATTCTGACTCAAGGTGACCCATGTGTTAGAGAGAAGAACTGTGCCATACAGTTTTCTCAGCTGTAATCTTTGTGGAAGCAGATTGTCAGGCTTTTCTACAGAGCTGCCAGGTGGGTCTGAACTGCCAACATTTAGGTTGGCAGCTGAGTGCATCATGCTCGTACCACCTAGGCTCTTCAGCTCATATAACAATACAAATGTGGAAAACTATAAAGATAGTACAGCATTCACTACCTCCATCATACTGAACAAAAGGCCTAGTACACATCACAAAATTTATCTGTAATAAAACAAATCAGTGCAAACTTGTACTGGCATCATCAGCTGGGGAGGCCAGGAAAGGAAGCGGGAGCCAGCGGCAGGCCGGAACAACTAGAGGAGACCAAGAAGGAAGCAGGAATCAGCGGCAGGCTGGAACAGCTAGGGGAGACCAGGAAAGGAAGTGGGAGCAGTAATGGGCCAGAATAGCTAGGGGAGGCCAGGAAGTGAGTGGAGTGGTTTGGAAGAGCTAAAGGAGGCAAACTTGTCTGTCAATTTGTTGTACTATGGTGGCTTGAGTGTTGCTATGAGGCTGGAGGCTATGCCACCGGTGTTTCAAATGCCAACAGGGTTACCTACAGTGGGCAGGTTTCAGCAGAACTTCCAGACTAAGACAGACTCAGAAGAAGGAAGAGGCTATACACATCTTCAAGAATTGACCAGTGGAAACCTAATGAATAGCAGTGAAACACTGATATGTTACCGAAAACTTAATGAACAGCCCTGATATAATGCAGGAAGATGGCCCCATCCGGTTGGCAAGACATTCAAAATTCGACTAGGAAAGAGCTGCCTCATCAGAGCAGAGCCAATCTTAATGATGTGGATAGAGTAAAGCTTTTTGGACCTCCATTTGCTGATGTGACATGGCTCAAAATGAGAAGAAACAGCTGCAAATATAGATGAATAACTGGAACATGGAATGTGCGAAGTATGAATCTAGGAAAATTGGAAGTTGTCAAAAATGAAATGGAACCCATGAAGATTTATGTCTTAGGCATTAATGAGCTGAAATGGACTGGTTTGGGCCATTATGAATCAGACAACCATATGATCTACTATGCCAGAAACAACAAATTGAAGAAGAATGGCGTGTTATTCATCATCACAAAGAATGTTTCAAGATTTATCCTGAAGAACAAAGCTGTCAGTGATAGGATAATATCTATACACTTACAAGGAAGGTCAGTTAATACTACTATTATTCAAATTTATGCAACCACCAAAGCCAAAGGCGAGCACACTGAAGATTTTTTACCAATTTCTGCAGTCTGAAATTGACCTTACATGCGATCAGGATGTGTTAATTTTTATCACTGGTGATTGGAATGCAAAAGTTGGAAACAAAGAAGAATCACTGATACTTGGAAAATTTAGCCTTGGTGATAGAAATAATGCTGGAGATCACATAATAGAATTTTGCAAGACCAATGACTTACGCATTGCAAACACCTTTTTCAACAACACAAACAGTGGCTATACACGTGAACTTCTCCGATGGAGTACAAAGGAATCAGACTGACTACATCTGTGGCAAGAGGTAATAGAGAGGCTCAATACCTCCAGCCAAAACAAGGCCAGGAGCTGACTGTGGAACAGACTATCAACTGCTCATATGCAAGTTCAACTTGAAGTTAAAGACAATTAAAACAAGTCCACAAGAGTCAAAATATAGTCTTGATTATATCCCTCCTGAATTTAGAGACCATCTAAAGAACAGATTTGATGCATTGAACACCAATGACCGAAAACCAGAGGAATTGTGGGATAACATCAATAACATCATCCATGAAGAAAACAAAACGTCATTAAAAACACAAGAAAGACAATGTGGTACAAAACTCAAAATCATTTGGAGGCAAAAAAAAAAAAAA